ACTGCCCTAGTAAAAAACTTTTTAATAATACATCTTAAAGCGGAATAGGTGCATTATGTGAGATCTCATGGGAGATGTAAAACATAAGAACAAATTACAATTTATTGGAATGCATATACATACAGTATATTTCCAAAACGTTGCGTTGCCTAAATTCCCACATCCCCCTCATCTCCATCTGGATTCATAGTACGGCCACGGTGCCTGTTACTTCCTCTGTCACGTCCTGTGTCATTATCGCCCTCTCCGCCTTCGGATATGTCACCACCGACACCTTCTGCCTCAGATATTACAGAATCTTCAATATCAGCACCGGTCGTTATGGGTTGCTGCACAACTTGGTCCTCCGTATTGCCTACTCCACTAGTGATGCGGCCTCGCTGTTGTCCAATAAATGCATTGTTCAAATATGTTCTCAGATCTTTCACACCTTTGCCACTGAAAACACAAAACACTTGTCTCTGATGAGCAGTGAATTCTTTAGGTGGCGGCCTACAAAAGCGTTGAACATCCGGACGTAGAAATGCATGAACACCGGTAAGAGATAAATGTGTCAATCGATAACAGAAATTAATTAAATCTAATACTGCGCTGATCGTAAGATTGACACAATACGATAGGTGAACGCGTTCAAGGGTGTGCGCTACAACCCGATTTTCAATTAGAGCAAAAATGGCCTGATCAGTGATAAGGGCGCATTTCACTAATCCAATTCGACGCAGCTTTGGTAAGTTGGAGAGCTCAAAAACTGACGCATCAGTAAGCTGGTTGCAACATGCCAAATCAAGATATCGTAAACGAGTACAATGACGAGCCAAGTGAGTTATTGAATGGTCAGTAATACGATTACAATGACCTAGGTGAAGATAGTGCAAGTGTTTGCCCAATCGGGTAATATGATACACTCCTTCGTCCGTGATATTTCCGCATTTGGCCAAAACGAGATTACGTAATTTAGGTGCGCTGTGTACAATCTTAAAAAGCGTTTGATCGGTTATAAGAGCGCATGATGTAAGATCCAGCACGCGTAGCTGTTCAAATAACGATGGCGTTGTTCTTGTAAATGATTCATCGGTGAGATGAGCACAGCAAGCAAGTCGAAGCTCCCGCAATTGTGTGCAATTTTCAAAAACCGGTTTGATTGCTTTATTGGTTATTTGGTTACAGTTGGTAAGGTCTAATTCCAACAGGTGTGGGCAATTTTTAGCCAAAACAATAACAGACTCATCGGTAATATTGTCGCAATTGCTAAGCTTAATCTGAAAGTAAAAATAACAAAATACAGTTAATTATCTAATATAATCTACCGCTAATAGACTTATCTACTCATTTCTTTTCATAAATTTGCTTGCATCAAAATAAATGACATATGCATACATAAAAAATTAATTTCTTTATGAGAATAAAAATAATTGATTACCTACCCTCCTTAAACTTCTACATTTTGAAGCTACCACCATAATACCTTTATCAGAAATTTTTCTACACATGCTCACATTCAAACCTTGTAATCGTCGACATCGTTCACCAACCAGTTCTACTACCGAGTCCGTCAGATTTTCGATGTCTGACACGTCTAAAGCCACTAGACCATCGGCCTTTTCCAGCAATTTCAAAAGCCCTACATCTGTCAGTCTCCTGCAACCTCCGAGGGTTAATCTCTCTAACCTTTCACAAGAGCTCAATCGAGCGAGAATTTGATCGCTTATATCCTCTCCCAAAAAAGAAAAATTAAGACGACGGATGAGAAGAGAGTATTGAAATGTTTGAGTATTACGTGATAAGGTGATCAGTAACTTAATAAGGGATGCATTGTTAGTGAAAACTGGCTTATGCCATAACAATTCAACCCCACACCGACACCACGATTTGCATACTAAAATGCAGGACTTAAGATCGGCAGTAGAAGTTACATATTTAAAAATCTGTAAGATCAGTTCCGAGGGTATAGAAGCGGCTTTTGCGAGCGAAGTTGAAGACGAGGGTAATGGATTTAGCTTTGTTGCTCGCCCAGGCAAAAGTTTTTCTGAACTCATTGTATAATGATTCTTGATCTAACTTTCGTATGCTCTATATCGAGTTAAGACTGTTAAGAACTAAACATCCGAATCATATATAATATTTATTTATTTCAAAGATTAGAAAATGCAAGAAAGATAAAGATGGGCTACGGTGAATGAATGCGACGCAAATACCTAAAGCAAAAGAGCTCTCGAGGCTATGTGAGTTTGAGGGAAGGCTGCTTATGAGTTGGAATCGCACGTTATATAATGTGTAACCCCTATACCGGGAAATATCACTATAGCACAAATAGTTGACTCAATAAAATGCGATAGGTGTCTTAATAAACCTGTGCTCGATTTGCGCAGATATTTTCTCTATATAACTAGTGCCTGATGGTGTCACGTGATCATCGATTACTGCTCAAGAATATCGATATGTCACGGTTGTCTCTATTTGAATATAAACTTACTACAGTACTAGGCTCTGCATAATATTATAATATTGTATTTTAAACGGTTCTGCACGATTCTGTTAAAGCATAGATCCCGGCACTTGCAGAATCCTAACTAAAACAGTGCCCGCGTTTGTGCTTGTGCTATGTTTTAATAGTATGCCCGGCACTTGCTGAATGCTAAACCACATAAATCCACTTTATACAATTCAAGAAAATTACCACGCATATAAAAACCCATCACTTATTTCAAATTGCAAATTAAAACAAATTAAAACAAAAGATAACTTTATTGGTTAACGGTCACGAGGCCAACAAAATTTGATAAACAAGCCACAAATAATGATAATTCGAATCAACAATTTAACCAGATATTTTTTTGCAAACCTTTTTCTCACTTAGCCTCGTGAGTCCCCTCGTTTTCTGGTATATACTGACCTTTATACAGTATTATTAATTCTTTAATCAATATTTTTTATATTCATGCTCCATTTCTTCGTTGTTATTTGAATATTATAGGTTAATATTTCTCTATAGATATTGCACATCAAATGTTCTACAAAAATTCGATATTCTTTGTCCTTGTACTCGGCCTCTTTCTTTGCTGTTATTTTATAATTTGTTTCAATTATGGAACCATCTCACAAGATGATATAATATCTAAAAGCATGAATTATGTAAGAAATGGTAACAATAAATTAGAACATAATGACGCTTTAATTCGAGCTGCTGTTGCGGATCAAGTTAAGACATTATGCGCAGCCGAAGTCCAAAAAAAAATTCTATCACAAAACAAAGAAGTGACGAGATATCGAAATAATCCCGCAGTGGAAAATATTGTGGTCAATATGGTACGGCAAGAAGTCCGGAAAGCCGTTGAAGAGATGCTATACACATATTCACAAGACAAATTAAATAAAGCAGATTTTGCCCTATCTTCAGGTGGCGCTAAGATTATAAGTCCACTAACTTCCCCAACCTATGAACAATGGCCGACGCAGTGGTATAAAATAATGATGGCATCCGTGACCGGTTACGGTATTACACGAGGTAAACCTCCTATTACTGCAATTCAACCCGATACCCATGTCGGACAATGCTGGCCTTTTTCTGGGCAACAGGGACAATTAGCAGTGCTGCTGAGTCGCCAGGTTTACGTGACGGCAGTAACCTATGATCATGTTAGCAAAACTGTTGCCATGGGCACAACGAGTGCTCCAAAAGAATTCGAAATTTGGGGATTCACTGATGATGATGAACTAGATATAGAATTTGCAAAGTCGGGAAACACAGAAAACAATCAACCGGAATATGATGATGCTGTAACCGACAAAAAACCAAGTCACACCACCAATGACCCGGACACAAACATTCTAGACTCTAATCATATACAATTGGCAGGTTTGGACATAAAGTTGGGTTCATCTTCAAGCCACTTATTTTTGGGCCAATTCGTATACGATATAGAGGGCTCACCTATTCAAACCTTCGAAGTCAAAACTCCAGCTAAGCCTATTCGTGCTATCATTATGAAGGTGAATAGTAATTGGGATAATCCAGAATACACATGCTTATATCGATTCCGTGTCCATGGTGTTCATCTTGCACCAAATTTTGATAAAAAATAATAAATATAACTTACTTA